AATTGGTCCATATTTATTTTACACAGAGAAATTTATTACTCAATTCAAAACAACAGAAAAAAATGATAGGTCACCATACTCGTTTGCGAGAAAATGACGTTTACCTCTATGGCGAGGTCCAGCTGTAAACAAAAAGCCGCCATTTTTTAATACGCACGCACTAATCAGGCGTGAAATTATGCGAAGTAGGGATGCGGAATGCAATACTGGGGAATGACCTAAAAGCCTTTGCCTATACATTACATCCTGGCTGACATGTTTAGCATTGCATCTTGGCTGACATGTGTAGCATTTTGTTGCAAAAACTAGTTGAAATGACCTTGGAAGTACAGTGTACGGTTTTCTCCCAAAGTCATCCGGCCAGCTTAGTATACTAAGTACTTACAATACTGTGCAGTTTCACTTAAAACAATACAATCACAGGAAAAAATTGAAAACTGTTCATATATCTCAAGACTTCTGTTCCGATCAGGACAGATAACAGGAGTTTCTGACCTAGTTGATTTTGAACCAAAAATTTCAATATTTGCTTTGGCATATACTGCATCCCATTCAACATTTTTTCCTAATTTTATAAATTGACATTCAGTCAAAAAATGATTGATTCTACCTTGAGTGAATGTTTTGCTTTACATTATTGGATCAGATATCAACAGTTTTTACTTTACTGTGGTGTTTATTACTTTAAATGTAGGATATGAGTGTACAAAGTCAAGAACACGCAATGATGAGGATAAAGGGAAAAGCTGACGAATTTCAGAAACATGCATTGAGGCTAGCAGAGGTAGCTAGACAGTCTGCAGCGATTTCAGCAGATGCAAGAAGTGAGTCATGATTAGTTGTAACTTTACCAAAAACTACCAGAGACCCAATGACTTAAGCTGGAGTCTCTAGACTGATAAACAAGACAATGTCAGCTTTTAGTTATGGATGTGATGAAAAACAGTTCATTTTCATAATTAACTGGAGCTGAACTGAGTTAACCATGTGCCTACTGTAATGGTGCTAATTAAAGCCACACCCACATCTATTTATAATCACAGCATTATTTTTTACCTGTAGTAAAACATAGGAAATCTTTAATAATGGATTAATTTGTGGGACAGCAATAACCCAGTTTTGTGGAAAACAGTGCCGTAGCCCGACATGTTGAATTGATATGAGGCCACCCAGTCTTACACACGTCAGTTAGGATGCATGTAATGCAGTGATCAATGTTTGCTAACAAGAGTCATTGTGAGCCAAATGTTAAGTGCACTAAAACCCAGACCACATTAATCCAGGGTCTAACATTCTAACCATAAAACCACCAGCATGGCACTTACTTGTAAATTTGCACCATGCCTTAGTAATGTGTATTTCTTTCTTCATTTACAGGAGTACAAACAATCAACAGCACAGCTAGTGACATAGAGAAACTCGCTCCACAGCTGGTGTCTGCAGCTGTAAGAGTGCGACAGACTCCTAAAGACACAAGCTGTACAGAGCGTCTGGGACAGCTGAGAAGGGAATGGACGGCAAAGATCCATGCTCTTACATCAGTGGTTGATGATGTCACAGACTTCAATGACTTTGTGTTGATGACTGGTATGTTAAACCTTTGATTTCCAGCAGTTGAAGACAGGTCCTGAGAATGACTGACCTGTCTTGATTTTAATGCTTAATTCTCCCAACTAGAATTATGCAAAATGTTTTAAGTGTTGTAAGAAGAATTTGGAAGGCAATCTTTGTTAAATGTTCCAGTTTTCTTTCTCTTGGTTTGGGCTTGGTTGATGCAGTTTGCAGTAAAATTTACTGACGTGTACATCGACTTGATAATTTTTCACCTTCCAGACTTTAACATCCAGGAAGATATTACTTGTTGTCGTCAAGCATTACAACTGCAAGATATCCAGAAGGTGTCCCAGACCTCTCTCAGAATGCTTGGCCGAGCAAGGAGAGTAGCCCTGGTTACTAAGAAGGAGATGAATATGACTGCTGACCCAATGTACAAAGGAAACTTACAGTCAGCTTGTGGTCAGCTGGAGTCAGGTGTGTGGGTTATATAGCTCAGTCAACTCCCTCTTAACCAACCCCTCTCTATGATGGACCCCTGGCGGGGATGTTCGTCGAAACTTTTAGGGGATAAAAAAAGTGGTTTTGGTAGTTTTAAGGCATTCAGCCCCAGAAAGTCCACAGTGGGAGGTTTGGTGTTACCGTTTAGGGTATTGAGCTGAAAAAAATTAGACAGGAGATAGTGTTGTTTTAGAATTTGTGCCTTTTGTGCCTTTTTATATGGGAGTCCCCCCAGGAAATAGACACCTGTACCGGGTAGTTGGTCCTTGCTCTAAAGTATTGACACTGTCAAAGGATATTCTAGAAGTGGTTTCTAGGTTAAAGTCGTATCAGAGATGGTAACTATGAGTCTAAATATTGAACACAGTGCCAGACGGATAATAACCACGTGATTCAATTCCTAGAATTTGAACAGACTGAGAAAATACAATAGATATGCACCCAATCAAACTTGATGAAGAATGCACAGGACTCAGGCCGTATGCCTTCTTGACATATAAATGAGTGTGAACTGTTGGGCAATGGTGCATGCAGTAGCTTGCAATGTCAATTTTAGCTGTGAGAACATTTACTTCTGACACTATGCTGCTAATCAACAAAAGTAATAACTATCCATTGTTTTTCTTGGAATCCTCCTTAAGAGTGACCTTTCATGGTTAGTTTTAGTAAAGGCAACTCTCAAGTCAGTTTGACAATTCTGTCAAAGGCTATAAATGACAAACTAACCATGTTGTCATTTTTCTTTATCTTTTGTAGTCCTTCCAGCTCTGGTTCAAAGTGTAGAAGGAACCTTGGTAAATATGTCGGATGTTGACCAACACAGCAAACTTTGTGAGAATTCTGAACTGCTAGGAGACAAAGTGAAGATGATCAAATCAGCATTGAAACGTCCTGCAGGAATCAACATAGGTTTGTTGTGTTGATTTTGTAGTGTATTGCTTAAGTTGATTCCAAAATTGTACCTTGCTCTGGTTTTCTGTATTAATATGTTATTTGCCCGTGGAAGGGAAACTTGTCTTAATAGCATTCTTGACAGTGTTTCGTGTTCTCTCTCTGCACTTCTGTAATTCACTTTTAAATTACTGTAAATGTCCTTCAATGGCTTTTAAACCTTAATCAATTTTCATTTGTGATCAATAAGTTAAGAATTTTTGGGAATCGCAAACTATCTAGTTCTGTCTTAACCTTTCATAATAGTTACCTGTATGTAATGTCATGGCAGGTAAGAGTGGCTTATAACGATCTAGTATTGCTGGCATATAACACTGGGAGGCAATGGGTTGCTGTATTTAAGATGTAGAAAACATGCATTGTGTTTCTATCGAGTTTTAGCACAAATCTAAGCGTTCTATCACGAATGCTGTTCGCTGATTGGCTACGCTACTCAGTCACTATCTATTCTGTGATAGGTAGTTAGTTGTGTAGCAGTGTGCCCTTGTTAACAAAATGACGGCCGCTTCTTTGCGTTTTCGAAGTGTCTTTGAGGAGGACTTANCCGTGTTGAAATCGAGCTTTTTTATATCAGAGTTTACATCTTGTTTTGTGGTTAAAATTACAGGCGGTTCTATCAAGTTCTAAAAGGCAAATCTGAGTTCTGGGAGATGTAAGACGAATACAGGAGACGAAAATCATTGTCATTAATCAAGCCTATTTCGTATGAAAGTAGGATAATCTCTGGTTTCCTTGAAAGTAGTCATTTTCGTAAAGACACGTAGATACTATACATACCTTTGCTGTACAGCAAAATCTTAATCATTTGAGTTTGGCGGGTAAAACACCGTTTTCAGCCTAGTCCCTCACGGCCAAAGTAGCCGTGGTAGCACCTCGCCGTAGCGTATCTTAAAGTCCCTAATAACTGAGCTACTACGCGCGCTCTCATTGGTCGATAGGTGTGTTTAGATGAGAGTATGTAAACACGGTTGTGACGTTTTAGATTCGCGCGTATTTTTGAGAAATATTTTATAGAAGCAATAGAGCAGTTTTTTTATGTTTACATAGCCTCATCTGAACACTTGGGGGGTTGGAAGAATTCTCGAAAGTTATGCAAACCCGAGACGTAGTGGAGGGTTTACATAACTGTCTCGAATTCTCCTGACCCTCCTCGTGTTTAGATGAGGCTATGTAGACATGGAAAAAGTGCTCTATTGCGTAAATAGAAACACGATTTTAAACCAATCGCGCGCGTATGTTCTTGCGCTATTTTCTAATGTATTTTAACTCCGTGATCTGAACATTATGACAAATGAATATTTACATAATCACCTTAGGATAAACAGTCAGGGTGCACACATTTGGTACTCCTGGTATTGCTATTAATCACTTTGCAATCTTTTAATTGCTTGTGGTTTGTATGATGCGAGATAAATCGTGATATTTTATTGCAGATTTAACTGATTATGGCAGTGAGGACACAGGCATCAAAGGCTTTGATGTGAAAGACAACATGCTGGATTTGTTTGAGGTTTTAAGGGCACGTCACCCTACGGCAGGTAACCATTTATTATTATTAATATTATTATTTTTATTATTATTATTATTATTTTTTTTATTATCATTACTATTATTATTATTATTATTATTATTATTATTATTAGATTTTACAATGCATTGCTTACAACGTAACATACATTACACACATTAACAACAACAAATTACACACTCACGTTACGTTTTTACGACACTACTTTCCGTGTTTTGGTACTATCCATCAGTATCCACTGCAATACAACTTTTCAAGCATATATAAAAGCTCATGTTACACGGTGCTATGAGGAATCAAAGATTCAACATTATTCTAAGCTGTCGATATATTTTCTCCATTTACGATTATGACTGGACTCTTTGTTATTTGATTTCATTACTTGAGATTCTAATTGGTATACATAAGCCAGGGTTTTACAACACACTCTAAAAGACGGGCGAGTATTATTTTTTCGGCATTCATATATGTGTTTTTTAGCTATAATTAAAAGGTGATTGAGCAATAAGAAATCTTCTTCTCTTTTCCAAATCCCAAAGAGTTTATCAATATTAGAAAGTCTGTCTAAAACTATATTTACATTCATACACCAATCAATAAAGTCCAGCCAAAAATAATTAGTGAATGGACATGTGATCAATAAATGCCCTAGGAACTCGCTCTCTGCACCACAGAATGTACATAATGGTGAAGCTATCAAACCAATTTTGTGTAGAA